CAAAAGTACCTCGAGAGGACCGTCTGGACCCGAGGGTGCCGCAGCTGGTACAAGAGAGGCACAGTCGACGGACCCGTCGTCGCCATCTACGGCGGCACGACCTTTCACTTCATGGAGGCCTTGAAGAACCCGCGCTGGGAGGATTTCAGACTGGAGAGGGGGGGCAATGCCAAGGTCAACCGCTTCGCGTATCTTGGGGACGGCTTTACCCAGAGGGAAAAGAAGTCAGGTTCTGTTGGGGCGACCCAGACAGTTGACCTCGATGAGTACTGGAATCTGTTTGTCTTGCCAGAGATTCATTCTTAGTATATATAGACTAGTTCTTGTTTCTATAATCTTATTTTCCCTTTGATAAACCTTGAAATAACTTATTATATATTCTTAACAAGCTTTATTTATTCTACTTTCTTTAATATATAAGTATTTGAGTTTTATCTATATATATATTTGTTATTATTATAATTGTAATAATATAATTAAAAATACAGTAATAAAAAGGCTAGGTAAAAATTGCTTAACTAAATCCTATTTTTAGTGTCTTCTTATACTTAAAATAAAACCCAGCTATTGAAGATATCTGGGCCATCAGATTAATAATTAATTAACTATATATACCTTAGTAGTATCCTATTGTGAATAAACCTATCATGCCCCATGGTTGCGGAAGAGAGTTTGAGTATGAAGTTAAACAGCGATAGAAGATGCTAGACCCGGCAACTCAATACAATAAATAGCCCTGTGGTTGCATCTCGAGAGTGAATAATATAATGCTACTAAGATTGTATTATAGAACCTGTGAACTGAGGAGATTGCTACTCGGGATTGTGCTTTGACCAGACTTTACACCACAACCGACCAGCAAGACAACATAGCTTGTACCGCCATCAAAGCTTGTAGACAAACAGGGGGCTCTTGTCTCCCATTGCGTCGAGCTCGGCGGCGGAATACTTGGCATTAATCTCGGCTCTGGATAGCTTGGCTCGTTTTTTGTTGATGAAGGTGTAGCCAAGCTCCAAGGTGCATGCCGAAAGGATGCCGAGGCAGATGAACCCAAGACTTGTACCCCAGCCCGTCTGGTAACGAGGGCTCTCATCCGACTTGAAAATCAGACTGCCGACAATCCCGCCGCAGTTTCCAAGTGCAATCATAAATGCGACCCCCATGGCTCTCTTGCTCTGCCCGGCGAGGTTGTTGATGGTCCAGGTATTGCCGCCGGGAATGATGTTATATACCGACGACGTCGCAATCATGACGAAGGTGTAGCACAGGGCAACATGGGTCTTGATCTCGGCACTGAAGGAGAACAAGACGCAGTACGCCACCATCAGCACCAGCTGGGGCGCGATGATGAAGAGTACCCGCCGTGAGAAGCGGTCAGCGAACCTGGACACAACCAGGGCCGAGATGGCGCCGGCGAGGTACGGGGGTGCGGAGAGTAGCTGGGCATTGGTGCTGCTGAACCCCATGTTAACCATGATGGTGGGGAGCGTGAACTTGAGCGCATAGGTCGGGACCGAGCTGGACATGAAGATGAGAGCTTGGAGGTAGAGCTGCCAGTCGGTAACAACGGAGAGGAGTATCTTCCACTTGTGCGCGCGTGAGACGGCGACTTCTTGGTCTGGGCTCTCCTGCGGCTGTCTGTGAGCCTCGCGGTACTTGCGGTGGAGGGCATTCATATAGTCGATCTCATCACTAGACAGCCACTTGGATGACTTTGAGGGTGAGTCGGGTAGCAGCCAGAATGCGGCAACGCCAAGCACAACGGTCAGGACTCCCTCGAGGAGGAAGATCCAACGCCACCCATTGTAACCACCCAAACCCGCCATCTTGGCAATTCCCGCAGCCAACAAACCCGAAAAGGCTCCTGAAATGGCGGCAGCGCAGTACAACATGGACATGCGGACCTGGGTCATGTAGGGGGGGTACCACTGGCCAAGAAGGTATACTGCGCCCGGGTAGAAGCCAGCTCTGGGAGGCAAGGTTAGTTATATAGACAAGCTAGGCTTCTAAGGCATTCTAGACATACTCGAAAACACCAAGCAGAATCCGGCAGACCAGCAGCCCTGCATAGTTCTGGCAGAAGCCACTGCATGTCATGACAATACCCCATGCCGTGACAATCATGCCGATCCACGTTGAGGGCCGGCGGAACTTGATTAATAGGGAGTTGGCGGGAACTTCAAAGAGGATGTATGGCACAAAGAAAATCATATTAGTAACATTGTAGTCGTTGCCTTTCATATTCAGGTCCTTTTCGAGGCCCTCAATCTTGGCGTTTCCGAGATTGGCACTGGGTGTCTGTCAGCTTCCGAGCCTGGCGCATCGTGGACTGCATGCATACCGATCCAGGTTGGCGACGAGGTAGAGCGCCATTAGCATGGGCATCAACCGGTAGTCAACCTTACGAAAAGCCGTCTTGTGCGCCTGGGCCGAGACATCCTCGATGATGGCGTCGTCGGTGGTTTCAAACTGCTTCGGGTTCTCCACGTGCATGGCTTTGTTTGCCTTGCCATCAAGGCTGGTTTCAAGTGCGCTGTTATTAGACATGGTGACGGTCTGCCGATGGGTTGTTGGGAAGGTGTTTGATGCAGCTCATCTCAAGATATTTATCGTGGCCGAGGATTGGGTGAAGCTAGTTGAGTGGCTGCGCTTAAGGGCCGGATTTGAATGTCCGAGACAGCCCCAGGATTCTTGGTCTGGGGAAACTCCGGGGCAGGTTTGTACGTAGACTAGCCGCGCAACTTTGTCCGGTGGTGCTAGTCGACGAGTCGATGTGCTATTAGCAGGAATCAAACCCCACGTTGACCCCGGATTTAAAAATCCCACGACAGGCTTACTCGCCCAGCCCCATAGAGCCTACTTTCTCTCCACGGGACATTCATTGCCTAGCGGTGAGAGATTACTAATATCTTTTCACATTTGGATATCTTTTCTTTCTTAGGACTATCTAACCATAAGAACGATAACTGACCATTCCTTAATTCCCCGAAATAGTAAAATAGCAGGCATCGTCACACTCCAAGATAGCAAGCCCCATCAAAACAGCCCTACATACTAGCCTGGGAACTATAGGGCTTACCGGACTCACCGTGAGCGCCGTTCTCGACCCGTCTGATGCGCTCCCTGAGCTGAGCCTTTTGGCGACGACGCCAGAGCAACGCAGCAGCACCAATGAGCAGCCCTACACCAGCCACACTGCCGACGACGATACCTGCAATGGCCCCACCGCTGAGCTGAGAACCACCGGAAGAGCCAGAATCAGAGGATGAGGATTGATCCTGTGAGCTTCCCGACGAAGTTGGATTATGGGTCCCAGTAGCACTAGGGTTGGTAGTAACACCAGCCTTCTTCTTATCATCTTGTCCGGGCTCAGTGGCATTGAAACAGGGGATTCGGAATTTGAAATCGGCCGCATTTACAAAGGTGATGTCGGAGCAAGCGTAAAAGGTCTGGTTATGGGGCGCGTCCCAGTCGGCACGGTAGATGATCTGGATCGTCGCCTTGTCGCCAGCCTTGACCGACGAGGAAATTCCGGTGAGGTTTACGCAGGTGTGGCCTGGGTTAAGATCGGAAATCTCTTTGGTCTGAAGCAGGGTGCTGAAATCATCGTTGGATTTTGGATCTATATTTGGCAACATATATTATTAATTTGACAGGCCTCAAAGTTTGACCAAACTTGAAAGCGTTGCTAGGCTCATATAGTACATGGTGAATGGAATACTAACCATCAGAGTAGGAGATACTAATCTTTGCATCATAATAGTCGTCTTGGGCGACTAGTGCAACAGCGCCACCCGCTGAACATAAAGAGTTAGTTTTGAAGCGAAAGTATACAACCAAGCACCCACTTACTGATGGGGAAACTGGTACGGTTGCCAACTGATTCGCGTGATCCGCAGGGAGGCTGGTTGTCCATGTCTCCAGACCATACTCTGTCAGGAGGCCACATAAAAGCAGCCGGTCCCATCTCGCCATCGGTTACACTGGCCCCTGAGAATTTCTCTTGCGAGTCTCCGAAAGCAAAGGACACTAGGCCTAGGGAGACCAGGGTCTTCATCATCGTAGGGAAGGACATGTTGATAACGTAAGGGATAATGATGATAAACTGAGAGACTAAGAGGAATTGATTAGATGGACAAAAGTACACGAAGCAAAGCTAGAAAATAACATATATTAATACTCACCAAAGGCGTGAATTCCGCCAAGCTATGCGTGATTTACTTGCTTGAGTGAACCTTGGCATTTCTAAAAAGTCCAGCAAGATCCTACTGTAGTCTGGGTATTAGCTTCATATCTTCGCATCACCTGGTTCCAACGGATAAAAGTAATCAGATGATCTGATAAGATTGGATTCCACACAAATGGAACTCTAACGGACAGGAGCGGATACTATAAGGTCCTGACAGGGAAATCTCCCCACCAAGTTGCCTCCCTCCCTCCTTCTGTGCCTTGTTTTGTCACAATCCAGAGTCTTGGCTATCAATGCTTGCTGGCTCCTTTACGCCACGTCGAATGGATGCGTCGTCAACAGTCCCACCTAGCAGTTTGCTCCGGGCCGATTGTCCGTTTACGTGATAAGTTCGAAGATAATCCTTGCACGCCAAGGTGGTATCGGCGCAAGCGTGGTTCGTATTTTAGCCTGGGTAGGCAATATTGGTTGGATCGAGACCTGGCGGACACGCGCTGAAGGATTTTATCAGATGATCTGATAAGATCCTGTTCTACCATTGGTCTTCCGCGCGCTCCGAAGGGCGATTTTCACTCACCGAGCTCGTCTCTTCTGGACCCCAATCCTTATCCAAGGAAGACACGATCCGATGTCACAGGATGTTATTGGGAGATTGAAACTTTAATTACTTTGGTAAGGAACGTAGCTTTGGAAAAATTATATATAGACCATTTCGCCTTACCAAATTTTAAGATACTCAGCCACAGCTCCCAGCATTCACACATATTTCATCCTTACTTTGAAATCTCGCATATTCCTCAACTTTGCCAAGATGTACAAGTCACTCGCCATTCAACTCCTGTTCTCCTCGGTGATGCTCGTAACTGCAATGCAACCTCGCTTTGAGTATCCCGAGGAGGTCCCTGCTCTTGAAAGGCGCCAAGAGCCAGGCACACCTCGCTACCAGTGCCATGAGGATTGCGGTATAGCGTTTCCTGCCCCCATCCTTTGGCCAGACCAAACAAACTGCGTCGCCTGATGCTAACAAACCTACTCTTTATGTTGCATTAGGCCTTCTCATAACCCTTGGCCGTCAAGATGGTTACTGTAAGAACTCCGAATGGAACGAGCGTTACGGGCGCTGCATGATTTGTGCCAACACCTTTGGTATCTGGGAGTACTATGGAAATAGTGTTACTAAAGCTGCTAAGGGCTGTGGCCTCTCCCCTAGCCCTAGCCCCTCTGGAACGACGGCTTCTGGCACGAGCGCCGGCCAACCTTCGACTTCTACCGCCCCTGGACAGGCCTCAGACATGAAGACTAGTTCAGCTGCTCAAACTACTGGACAGAACGATTCTGCTGTAACGTCCAAGGCTGCTTCCACTGCCGGCCAGATCAGTAATCCTAGTACTCTATCAACCATTTCGACTCGTGCTAGTACTCCTGGTGTACCCTCCGGGCCTTCTTCAACCCCTCGCCCTAGCGCAAGCTCTGTACGTACTCGGAAAGTGCTAGCCTTGGTGTCCAGTTCTTTGCTAACACATTTTATAGACTGCTACGCCGTCATCCTCCGTTCAGAGTGCCGCTGCAGGCCATGCCCACTTTGCCACGCCACTTATAGCCGCTTTCGTGATTGCCCTGGCTGGTCTTTGCTAGATGACTTATATTACTTTTTGGTTGAGCCTCTATGACATAGATGGCCCTGATTAGCAATGGGGTTTGATGCCCGTTCAGTTCAGTGAAGATATTTCATAGAAGTAACACCTTCTATATTGACATGTTGAGATTTACTACAATTCTAATATTGTTTTTCCTACGTGGATGGCCGGGTAATTTTGGAAGTTAGTAACCGTGGCCTTATCTTATTTTCACAGGAAAGAGGAAGCTGGAAAAGTTGTCACAAGCGAGAGAAATCTAATTGGCCCGATCGAGGGAATAATGTAAAATACCGCGGCCCTCGCAGCAGTCTTCGGCAAGGAGTTCAATTACATTGCGTACTGTGACCAGGTTCACTCGCAAACCCACACTTGTATTAAGTATTATCTCAAAGAATTCGTCGCAGAGGAGATGTAGAAGTACAATCATGAACGGACGGCTTGACCATTCGAAGCGTCATGGAAGACGTCGAAGAAATCAGATTCACGGACGACGGCTTGCTTAAGATCTGGCGAAACCACCCGCTCTGGTACAACAAATCAATGGCAGTCGACTTCCGCCACAACCATGACATCTCGATGACATCGACGAGGACGAAGAGACTCGCTATTGTACTTTACATCACAAACTCCGTTATTAAACTGGACACGCTCATGTGGAAACGCCTTGTCTTTGTCGCTGCTAAGGGTGCCACGTTACGGAGCAGGATGCCCAGCGCCAGGCTGTGGAAAATGAGAGTCGGTACTTTGTAGTGAGGGCAGCAAACCGAATCTTTTCCGAGAGGCGGCTTTCTGCCATAGGAGTCTGCTACTTCTTACTTGGTTATCAAACGGACTTTACAAATGTACCGCACTGGTCCTATAGCAATATGACCGCACTCTACTGGATCGTTTTCCGGTGTAGATACAAAGTTAAGCAGTATATTGTAGCCCAATATTGAGTAGCAAACATTGATCTAATTCAAACAGGGTTGAGTTCGAAAGCCCAAGCCGTCTTCCAGTCCTCCTCTGTGTGGTAAATGGCAATGGTAATCTCGTCATTGGAATACTGGTGCACAGCCACACCGCGATCCGTAGGGGCTGCTAGCTCTGTCTCAGGAATTTTGTAGGTAAATCCCCATGTTTGAATTGCCATTTGTCCTGACGAAGGAAGTCCTGCCGCGCCCAGGTTCTTGATAGTGAGGGCCCAAGTGCCAGTCTTGACTCGGACTCCAGTCAGAACACGAACCTTGTCTTGACCAACCGTGGCATAAGCGTCAAACAGCCTATCGCTGGAGCCGGTGGTACCCGCGCGGTATCCAGTCATGTTGGTGGCGTAGTACTTGAGTGCTTGCCAGTCGCCGTTGGGGTGGTAAGGTAGTGACTTGTCATCTCGCCAGAGGAGGCTCGCCAAAAAATCACGTAAATGGCTGCCGTTATCGCCACCGCGCCAATTTGCACGCAGGCCCGGTATGTCGTAGCGTTCAAAGCGGGAGAGATGCCAGACTGTGGCAGCAGGGTTGAGTTCATCGCCTAGATTGAGGTACTCATTGATATTGATCAGCTTCTTGGGGGCTCCAGCCGCTTCGCGCAGTTTCTCAAAGGTGACTAGACTATTTTGCAAGTCATTATCCGGGTTGTCCAGAGCCTCAATATGGTGCCAGGAATAGTGGTCAGGAGCTGTGTTATTAGCTGCAACGTAAGCCAGGAAGTTGGTCCACCAGGTGTTTGAGGCATTTGGGGGCAAAGAGAGCGAGGGGCCAATAATCTGGAGTTGGCCCAACACTGGATCATCACTGGATCTTGACATTAGTGACTGTCTTTGGGACTTGTGCTGACGGATCGAGGAGCTTACCGGAATCGTCGAAATGTTCTTCCAAATAGATCAAGCCATTGAGCTTGAGGTCTCTTCCAGAATCCCCACTCGGGCTCATTCCATATGTCAATATGCATGCCCGCAATCATGTTGTTGTCAATGATCCGCTGTATAATAACATTCAAGAACTGATCATAGTCAGACCAGTCACCGTTATCACCAGGCCACATCCTACTTTCATCTGTAAAGTCGGTGCCCCAGAGGTCATGGAGCAGCAACTGGAACTTGCCACCGTACTTGCGAGCAGTACGATAATTGCTCAGAGTAGACTCCCAGCGTTGCTCCATCTCACCCCAAGACCAACCGCGATTTGGCGCGCCCATTTGGGCTCCGCCGGCTCGGAACCAGTGAAGGCCAGCTTCAGTATAAAACTTATCGGGGATCTGGTCTGGCTCGTCCGGGATACCGTAAATAACGCCACTTGCCAAATGCTGAGGTTGGCCTTTGTTGACAGCAAGATCTACGATAGCAACTGCTTCAGAGACCCATCGTGGAACAATATGGGCTGCGACTGAGACAGTTAAAGGCATTAACAAAATCTGATAAAGAGGAGTCATGTCGGCTGTGTATGGTGTGAGTTACTTGCAAGCTTGCGGAGACCTAAGTGCGGCGGCTTACTTATGCGTCTCTATTTTGAGGTCTGAAACTTCGGGCTTTTCTAATTGCAGAGTGCGGTGGTGTATAACAATATTTTCGCAAAAGTTTGGATTTGGAAAACCTCTACTTAAGTATTAACCGCAACGCGGTGGGCGCGCCGACGAACACTGACTCACAGAACACATAGACTACCAGCGTTGCTTCGGCACATGGGCGATCCAGGTTTCCAATAATGCTACGCAGCCTCCCCTCCCACCGGAGTGCGTCCCCCACCGGAGTGTATCGATGCCCCAAATCATCCTACTGATCCCCAGTATCTTCCCCGCATCAACTTGGAATGTGCGGTGGGGGAACCACCGCGTTCCGTCAAATGTTGCTGCCAAGACGGAGCAAAGTATCAAAACGGAAGTTATCTCGCTAGAATAATTCCAAATCACCCGGTGACATACCGCTGTGGGATGATTTGATGAATGATAGGAGGGGGTGGACTGTGGAGAGGTTAAAATCGTTCTTCTGGCCGAGTCTTACCTTATATACCATAGATTGTGGATGGAACTATTTGCCAAGGGAGTCAAGAAATGGAGATGGTCTCACTAATCGAAACTGGCTCTTATGCCATGACGATACTTAACGCAATACTTAACGCAATACCTAAAAACGAGGGCAAACCCTCAAGCAAGGCTGGCCTTCAATGGCAGCGCTATTTTTCACAGGCCTCTACATGGCCACCACGGATATTATTCCTATTTTCATATACATAAAGTATTTAGAGATTATTTGATATGCTATCATCATAGTGGGAACACTTCTCAACCTCATATACTTATGTAGAATTATTCTGAAACCATCAAGTGGTATGCCGATACTTAGCCAAACACCAAGTCCCCATAAAAAAGCAAATCATATCCTGCTAACAAACATCATCTTAAAGTCATCGACCATTCTGCTCTCCTAGACCACAGGTGAGAGATATAAATAGCAGATCTTATTCCTCGCTCAATCGAGCACGCTTCTGCATAACAGCAGTCTGACTGGGCATGGTGGCCAGAACAGCCTGGGCACTCTCCTTGGCGGCATCGGCGCCGCTCTCAATAGCCTTCTTGGCGCTGGTGTCGATGGCGATACCGCGCTTGTTGAGGGTAGCTTCGATGGCTTTGGAGGACTCGGCCGCGGCACGGGCACGGTCCTTGAGACCGTTCATTATCTTTTCTTGCTTATTCTTGATTAAGGCCTGCAGGGCCTTTCCGGAGCTCTCGTTGTACTTGCGCAGAGTCTCCTGGAGCTGCGCCAAAGGAGTGCCCTTGGCCAACGCACCGGAGAAGTCGTTGCACATGTCGAGACCGGGGACGATGTGATCGCGGTCAATCTCGACATACATAAAAGCGATGTCGTAAAGCATGGAAAAATACGCCTTGGACTGGAGCGTGGAGGTGTAGATCGTCTGGCTGACGACATCGCTCATAGAGAGAGCCTTCTTCTTGTAAGACCTCTCGGCAACAACACCCATCTCCTCGGCGAGGACGTCGGTCTTCTTGAGGATAATGTCCTCGATGAGGCTAGTGAGGAGAGAGAAGAACTTCTCTAGCTTGCCAATCTGGATGGACAGATCGACCAACACGGCGATACAGTCACGCAAAACGACCTTGATATTTTCCTGCAACCCCTTAAGTTAATATAAAAAAGCCCTAACCCACTTTAGAGTTGTCTAGGGAGGGGGCCTTACAAGAAGCTTGGTCTTGTCATTCAATCTCTTAAGCTTCTGCTCAACAGCCAGCATGGCAGCCTGAGCTTCTTGCTGCTTCTTCATCGCGTTGTCGTAGTTGGTCTGAGCTGTATCCACGGCATTCTGCGCGATCTGAACACCCTGCATAGCACTGTTAAGCTGGGCATTCTCTGTACTTGTTGTTAGTTGGGTTTCCACCGTTTAATAGGTTAGTGAGAGACTTACGGGCAGATGTGTCGTTAGCAGCAACCTCATTCTTAACGCGAGAGAATGGGTTGGGAGAGTTAGTGGACGCCGTTGAGCCAGATGCAGCGCGTGGGAGAATACGAATAATAAACTTTAATAATAATAAAGCTGCCAGGGCCTGGAATAACTTAATATAATAAATATAAAAAGCTTAAAAATATAGCCTTTCCTTATATATCTAAGGAGTTATATAGTTAGAAAACTCTAACTATTATATAAATAACTTACTTACTATTATAATAGTAGCTTATTAAATAACTATTAATATAATCTCTTTTATTAGCTTTATACTAATCTAATTAGATTAACTAATCTAAATATAAGCTTAAAGATACTAAATAACCTAGTAAATACTATAAGCTTATTAACTAGAGTACTTATACTAATATATCTATAGTCTTTAAATATACTAAAGAATAATTTTCTAGTATCTTCTATTAAAGATAGAAAAGTACTTTAAGTTTATATAATAAAACTAAAAATCTTTATTAATATATTAAAGCTTATAAAATAGATAAAGATAATTTTATTAGAATAATTAAATAAAGTTATTTAATTTAATTAATCTAATTAATCTAAATTTAATTATTCTAATAATTCTAATAAATTTTATATAAAGAAGTTTAAAAAATTTAAACTAAAAGAATAATTAGAATAACTAGTTAATCTATCTATTAAGTAAATCTTAGTATTATTTAATTTTAATTAAGATATTCTTAGTTATCTATATAAAGAGGAGCTAGATCTAGATACTATTATAGAGTTAAAGAATAAGAAATTAAAATAGTAGGTATTCCTAGTACCTAAGGCTAGATTACTATAGTTATCTGTAGTTATTAAAAGAAATAAGTAGTCTATATAAAGAAAGGGTTCTAGGAGATAGTATTAATAGAAATACTTTGAAGCTTTTGAAATACAGTAGAAGCTCGCAGGTAATTCTTCCCTGGTATTTTGGACAGACCAGTCTGCGCTGCGGTCGAGGAGGCACCGAATTGTACTCACACTTCCGCATTCCGCTGCTCGATGTAGTGGGGTGGCCCCGTGTGCGTTCTCAAGATTTGGATTGCCGCCCTTTTCAAGAAGGGCCTGAGCGAACTCCTTATTGCCGCTTCTCGAGGCAAAATGCAGCGGAGTGTTCATTTGCGCATCACGTTCGTTCACCTTCGCGCCCTTTTCAAGAAGAAAAAGCACTGTGTCGACATAGCCGTGCTGGGATGCGAGGATTATAGCTGTCTCGCCTTGGGAGTTGCGTATATTGCAATCCGCGCCCTGGTGAAGCAAACGCTGCACAGCGCTGGTGCGGCCCGTGGCTGCTGCTACAAGAAGCGTATCGTTCCTGCGTGTCGCCGCTGATTGAGAGGAAGGAGATCCATCTTGAGGGTCAATGATTTGCATTACAGTTGATGATCCAGCAAGAGCTGAACTTTGATGTTGCGCGGCATCTCTCAATTCCTGGAGGATTTTGTTTATACCAGGGCCAGCAAAGGATGGGTGTTTGCAGAGTTGGAAATGATTATGATTAAGGAGGGGTATTGTTCTCTCATTGGAAACACCAGCCCGGCCTCTAAAATCGTCGACCAACTGCACAGCTATAAGCCAGAGGAAGACATATTTGTTATTATGGAAAAACTCACAAGGTGTTTCATCTCTGGGAGAGGGTCTCTCTCAATAAAGGAACTCACATGTATGTCTCTCGTAAAGCTGCTGAATTCGCCCGACAAGTCCGCTAAGTTGCCAGCAATTTCGCGAAGAGACTCAAGTAGGGCCATTCGAAATCTTTCAACAAGCTTCTCCGCCGGGGTGGGGAAGATGATTGAGTCGGTTATGTAGTGAGGAACATTTTCATAGCCTTCATCATAAGTAGACCCCAAGGAAGGATGCGGAGTGCCAAGGAAAAGAATGGCACAGATTGCTTTGTGGAGGGAAGCCAGAGCGCCCCGCTCATTGTTCACGATCAGTAACGCCTTTGTCAATTCTGTTAATACGAACATATTCCCTGAAATTTTTGGGGTCACGAACCTGTCTAACAAGAAGGCCACCCATTCCATGGCAGATGAATGCAATCCTTCGCTGCCGGTCCTATAAGCTCTCAGTATTTTTGCGCCGATACGGCCACAAATGTTAGAATGGTGGAAGTATCATACCGCGTCGTTTGACCTCGCCCTCCTAATTAAATGGAGAAGATATCTGGCATGGTCGATGAGGCCCCTTGAGCCGGCCAGGAAGGCCATTCCTGAGTCATATCCAAAAGTGTACACCCTGGCACCAGCTATTTCCTCGTGAAGATTTTGCAGCCAGCTAAACCCATTCTCATGCTGCCAAGTTCGATACGCATCGCCCCCTATGCCATGGACGGCGATTATGTCCATGTCTGATGCATACTGGAGGGCCCCTGGCGTTGCGCTTGTAGAGCCTGTGAGGCAAAAGAGGCCATTCTGATCGCTGCGGGGCTGTGCCTGGTCGAATTCGTCAGAGGTTTCTAACTGAAGAATGCGGTCAATCTGTGTCTGGGTAGGCTCGTCCACAGCCTCTACCCTTCGAAAAAACGTCGGAGATGAAAACTTCTCCATCCTTTGAGTTCAAGATTGTGATGATGTCGATTAGAAACCAACAATCTCAAGCTCTAAGACTCTGGAGAAGATTATCCACCGAGAGAGCGTGGACTCTAGTTCACTTGGTGACTAGCTATGCTAGGAAGAGCAGTTAGATTTGCTAGAGTATGGGAAAGCGGTCTTGACTTGGTATCCGGGTCGGTTGTGAGCCTTCAATGTCGGGTCAGGTACCACTGCTGGACCACCCCCCTTCTGATATCGGATCAGCGTAGGGAGGGGCGCAGCGTCAACCGCCACACTGCACAGCCCTCCATCCTTGAAGCATCCAGGGCTGGCGGTGGCTTCTGTATAAGAACGACCACAACACCGCCGACAATATTGCCAAGCTTGACAAAAGGCAACCTTGCAGTGTAACACGTCAAGTAGCATAGCCGAAGGGCGAATACCCACCCCGCTTCACGCCTGCACTGTTCCCATATTACATGATTCCAACGCAGATCATGGTAGTACCAGAGATGCCTATCATTAGCAACGGTAAAGTGGATCGAGGAGAACTTGGTCGGCGAGCCTGAACCACCCCGAAAGCCAAGCCGACTTCGCAGCACGTGGCCCCTCGCAACGAAGTAGAAGCCACGCTGTGCGAGATATTTAGCTATGTACTTGGCGTTGAAGTTGGCGCCACGGATAACTCCTTTGATCTTGACGGACACTCCCTTACCGCGACGAAGCTTGCGGCCCGCATTGGCCGTTGACTTAACACCCATGTCTCTGTCAAAGACATCTTCGACCAACCGGTCCCTGCTGACCTTGCGAACCACATCCGGTCCAATCAACTAAAAGAAAATGCAGAGAACAATCGAGTCTCACATGCAGAGCACTACGTTTCATTTCAGCTGCTGGCTGGAGATCCGCAGAAATTCATCTTGCGCGAGATTTCTCCCCATCTGAATCATGGCCACGGCCGAATTGTGGACATCTATCCAGCTACGTCGCTACAGAAAAGTTTTATTCATAACCCAGCGACGGGAGAGCCACGCCCTCCAATGCCTTTCTTCATAGATTTCCCCGTCAACTCTGACTTGGACTCATTGGCCCGCACCGTCGAGACCTTGATCCGCCATTTCGACATCCTCAGGACCGTGTTCCTTTTTGCTTCAGGAAGTTTCCATCAGGTAGTCCTGACACATGTCAAAGTGCCCATCGAAGTAAGGAATGTTGAGGGGGATCTCAACAGTGCGACGCGTGCTCTAGTCGATCAAGATCTCAAACAGCCTCTCCGCTTAGGGCAGCCGATGCTACGTGTCACTGTCCTCAAACAGCCAGATTGAGCGGTTCGGATAACACGTCGAATGTCCCATGCGTTGTACGATGGCCTGAGCATTGGGTCCAACGTACGTGCCTTTCACGCTCTACACAACGATATTCGCCTTCCAAAACCGCCCACGTTCGGACGATCTGTTCAACACGTTTCTAAAAGTCGCAAGGACGGTTATGAGTTCTGGCATTCCATCCTGTAAGGTTCATCGATGACGGTCATCGGTGGTCTTGACGAGTCACAGCCCGAACGTAACGGCACATGGATTGTAGACAAGGTCATCAGGGTCCCCTTCCAATTGAATGCAGACGGTATTACGCCAGCCAACGTATTCAGTGCTGCCTGTACTCTCATGATATTGAAGGGGACAGGATAAGACGACGTTGTTTTCGGTCGAGGCGTCTCTGGGCGGCAGTGTTTACCGATAAATTACCAGCAAGTCGTTGACCCTTGCATTAATACTGTTCCTGCGCGCGTCCAGATAGATAATAATGGGAACTCGAACCCGAGAGAATTGCCCCTCAACGTACAAGACCAGTATCTCAACAGCTTACCCTATGAAAACTTGGGCTGGATGATATTAGGCAGAATTGCACAAACTGGCCAGAGACGACCACGGAGTTCAGTTGCTGCACGTTATTTCAGAACTTTGATACATAGCCCGAAAGTCAGATCCATGACGAGCAGATCCGACTAGAGCATTTACCCATGCAAATTTGGACTGGCGAGTCTAGCGAGTCCAACAGTGCTCCGAAAGAAAATCCTATCAGCCAAGCCGCGATCCATGATATGTTCCTTGAAGGAAAGCCAGATGCTGATGGACATCACTTGCGAGTTACCATGGTGGCGAGCCAGAGAATTTTCAATCAAGACATGGTGGAACGCGTGATCAATTACACATGCGAAAGGATTCAGATATTGAGTTCAACCTTGCAGGATCCAGTCCCCGACGGTAACAGCAGCAGCAGAACGCCAATTTATATTGTCGGAGTGGGCAGCATGGGTAAGTTCGCGGACAGTGATCTAAGGAAGCATCACCCTCAGCTGCCCATCACACTGCTTCTCATCGCAATGATCTCCTCTCAGAATGGGATAAGAGGGTAGAGCCATCGAATGCATTAAGAACGGTAAATCCGTCAAGGCAACAGACTTTGAAGTTGAGCTTCTGTCCCAAGAGCTGCAGACCCCAATCAGGAACCTGACTGTGGCTACCAAAACATATTCAGTGGTCTCGGCGGTTGATATGGTGAAGCATCGTCTTGGAAGCAAGTCCACCATTCTATTCTTGAAGAACGGAAAAGGTGACGATACATAAACGTGTCCTTCAATGCCGAACAATGAGCTAACCGAGTCTAGGTACCATGGACGAAGTCACTAACTTGGTATTCAGTGAAACCGCGTCGCGGCCATCTTTTTGGGCTGGAATTTGCAGTTGCGGCGTGTATTCCACCTCCCCATTCTCCATCATCCATGCTGGTCGAGGCCCCATGACGCTGGGGCCCCTGTCCCAAAATAACTCTCCGCCGATGCCAGCCGCGTAAACACCCATAATTCAATCTTTGCTGGAGACACCTGATCTCGAAGCAACACTAGAAACACTAGACGGTTTAAAAAAAGCACAGCTACTAAAGCTGGCAGTTAGTAGCTGGCAGTCAATGCTCTGGTCAGTCCCTTGACTGTTATCTTTAGGTGTAAAATGGGGCAGTTATTTGATCAGCCACCAAGGCTTGCCTTGATGAAGGCACTCCTGGAAGAGGCCGGGGAGATTATCAGTGCAATGGAAATTTAGATATCTGAGACGCAAGCAAATTCACTGTTTATTGACCAGAGCTTGCTGTCTTTGGTCTTGAAGGCCATGGAGAGGGTGAAAGCAAGCAAGAGCTCCATGCTACAAGACATAGAGGCTGGGCGGAGAGACAGAAATTGATTCCATCAACGGATATCTGGTCGGGCAGGCAGAACGACTCGGTGTTCGTTGTAACAATCATCGTACTATTGTTGAAATGGTTAAACAACGGCAAGTGATTGAAAACGAGGATATTGGGGCTCTATTTGATTTGACAAATTAGCGTTGGGGTGTATATGAACATTTGGAATCGATAATCGTATAGATAAATCTATGGTATACCCAGGCTGTCAATCGCAACAGTTGATGAAGCTGTTGGTAGAATCCCGCCATGGATACAGGCATGGATGGCTCCAAAAAGATCATTTCCAACGGCCTTTTCCATCAGATAAAAAGTAATTTGTAGCAGATGGAGACTGCCCTGCTCTGGCGGTGAACCGTCTCACTCGTAACTCCTTGGTAAGTAGGTACTCGGCCGCAGTTCCTAGTAATAGCTAGCTAGCAAAAGGTGATGGTTTATAGAAATATTCTAAATCAGTCCTCGTTCGATATCTCTGGTAAGAGAAGTGGCTTCTATCTACAGCATCCTTTCTATATCGCGTGCTCAGCTAAGAACGCTTTTGCCTCAGTATGAACGTCGTAAAGGTAGAAGAAGTCACGTATTGGTTTGCTGAAGTTCATCGCCGTGTGGGGGTAGATATCCCCTTCCCAAAGCGCCTTGGCCTGTTCTCTATATTTGTCGTCCAGTACTCCGGGAGTGGCATCTGAGAGAAGGTGAGCTGTATTAAGCCGCTTCTTCATCAGCGCATTGTACATGGACATGCGCTTAGGAACCTGTGATGCAGCGGTTACACCACTGAAGAGCACCTCTAGCGCCGTGGCCTCTTCAATAGCCATGACGGCTCCTTGAGCTACAGACAGGAAATTTAGAAACCACTAAGCCTGTTCGTAGGTACCAGTTCTTACCGTGTGTTGGCTGGATGGGATGCGCTGCATCGCCAATAATGACAGCGCGGCCTTTTGTGTACTGATCGAGAACATCCCTCCGCTCCACCTTGTGCACCGACATGCTTGAAGTTTTCTGCAAGAGCCTCTCTAGCAGCGGGTTGCGTCCCTTGACGAGATCTACAATGTCCGCGAGCGAGGTCTCAGTATTCCAGCTGGTTGCATCTTGGTCCTTATCGCGCGTCTTGTGCTTCAGGGCGATATTCATCATGGACTTATCCCGGCAGGGGTAAGAGACGAGGAAGAAGCCCGTTGCCAAGTCGAAGGGAACCCAGAAACCTGGGTCCTGCCTGTCCCAAACTGCCTTGAGCTCGGCATCTTTGTTAATCTCGTTCACTGGGATGAGACAGCGATAGAAGGAGAAGCCGACATGCTCCAGGGGCTGATCTTGACCCGTGATATTGCTGATGAAGCGAGTCTGGAAGACGTTAGATCTTATGAACGGCACTGATGACTGAATGATGGCATCGCCTTACCCGAACGCCATCGGCAATCACGATCAAATCCTTCTCCACTTCTTCGCCATCCTCCAGGGTGAATCTTCCAGCGTAGCAATCTACGGACGTGACTGATTTTCCATTCCTTATAGCCACCGGGACCCCAGACTGGCCGTTTTCAGACACGGCCATTTTCCTCAGCGCAGTGTGAAGGTCCACGCGGTGGAAAAACATGAAGCGGGCCCCGTAATCTTTTTCGACATTCCTGAAGGACTCGACGAAACGGTCTCTCAAGGTCTGGTCATCACACATGCGCAGCTGCTTGGCCTCGACGGCGCCAGCATCCTTCGTGTCAAAGCCCCAGCGGTCGAGCGCGCGCATGCCATTGGGAGTAATGGTGATGGCGGCGCCGACCTCATTCTGGAAGTGAGACTTCTCATAAATCTACGACGCGGGGAGCTAGACGTCAGCGATAATGCTTGAAGATGAGGGCGGTGAGACCCAGGTGAACGGACCTCGACGTGAGCACCGGTGCGACGAAGGGCGATCGCCGCGCAGAGGCCGCCGATTCCAGCCCCAATGATCCCAACCTTCAGCGACATGATAACTCGGTAAGAGTCTTTGTGATAAGAATGGGAGAGAGTGGAAGAGGTGGTTAATTCTCAGTTATGATCCAGAGATAAATATCTGGCTTAAACATGCCGGAGGATCCGGAGTCTTTATATTCCGATACTCAGAATAAATTATATAATATACTCTAGGGGAGGGTTATATCCCTGAGGCGATTAGTAAGATTATTAATAGTAGTATATCTAGATTTAGCAGTTAGAGCTATATACGGCCTTGATCGCCGCCTCCTTTCTCATGTCGGCACAACCTACCTGATTTACTCTATAGTTTATAGAGTAAATCTTAATAGATCTAATATCTATTATATAGTTAAGCTCTTAATATTATAAGTTAGAGTCTTAATTAAATAAAGGAAAAAGTATAAATATCTCTTTAAACTGTAAAAAACAGCTTCTTTTAACTAAGCCGCTGAGCGGTATAAGCTGTAAAATATAGACCTTTTATCCCTGCTTTACTACTACTATAAATCTATCTCAGTAAGTAGTATTCAGACCTTGAATTCGTCGTTACATAATCGATTCAGATTCCGCAGCGCACTCTTAGCCTGCTCTCTCTTTGCCTGTTCTTCCGGAGTTAATGATTTCTCATTTATCTCCATATACTCCTTGAGCTCCGTCTCAACGATGGCCAAGACATGCGAAATGCTCAGCGGCTTCCTGTCTCCAATCGCATACGCTACAGCTGTCCGTAGCATATTCTTGATCGTTCGACCCTGTGATTGCAACTGTTAGGCCTGGACTCTGCACCCGTATACGTTTTTGGGGAAACATACGTTTAAAGCAAGCTTCCCAAGCGTGCCATAGACTTCATCGGTCCATGATTCGTCTTTGCTTACTTGCAAGTTCGCCGTAAATCGCTTCCAGATAGCAGCCTGAGCTGTATCTGAGAGCTCGGGGTATGTGATGGTGACGTGAATACGGCTCTTGAATGCATCGTCAAAGTCTTCCTTCCGGTTAGTCGTGAGGAACAGGACTCCCTGGAAGTATTCCATCATTCGTAGAAACACTGTTTGTATTTTTTTATTAGCCAATCACAATCACCAATGCTCGGACCGCAACCTCCAGCATCAACGTGGGGATGTAGTATTTACCTCCGACAATCGCGTTCCTATCCATATCGGCCGAGTTCCGCTTGCATAGTAGGACATCAGCCTCATCAAGCAGAGTCACAGCATCCCATCGTTTGGTGAGACTGAAGATCTCGTTGAGCCTCTGCTCAACCTTGGTAACGTCGGTGCTCAGTTCGCCGCCAGAGATCGAATACAGCGGCTTTTTGAGATAATCTGCCACACTTTCTACCCGTCATGTCAGTTTATGTCAGTTTGGTACATATGTTTGATTGGCAAGATTGGTTACCGGCTGTAAGCGTCTTCCCGAGTCCCGGGGCGCTATATACCTGGGTTAGCTTTGCGGTGACCAAAACCGGCACAACACCTACCCATGCAAGAGAAACACCAAACCTTGCCCTTTCCCTGGTATCACGTCATCAAATGCGGTTGCCAGCTTGGACATATGGCCTTTAACTAGACACTCAATAAGATCCTTCGTACGGCTTTCCAACTGCAACGAGTCAAAGGCCGTCAGACTCCAATTTACATCCTGAAGCGAGTCACTGCATAGCCATAACCACTCTTTCGACTTTAAACCAAACGCAGGGACAAGCGCGGGAAATAGTAGACTGAAGTCCTCAAGAGAAATCTTGAATCTGTTAATGACGAGCTGAGCAAGATTGGCCAGATTGTTGATATCGTCCAGCTTATCTCCGTTGGTGATAGTATCCGGGTCTGCAGTGGGTCTGACCGGGGCAAAGCTGGCTGCTTCGTACACTTCGTCACCGTGTGACATATTCTTCATGCAGGTCTTGCAGGTCGGATCGGCACACCGCTCGTCCGAGATGCTGATAATGCCTCTAGCTTTCCCCCGCGCGCCAGCAGCCTGGACTTTTTGGTTGTCGCCGAGCTTGATAAGCTCTGTGGTAGAGTCCTCGTTCCGCTGGACATACATCTTGTAATCAACGATAACGCGCTCATCTATCTACGTTGAGTGGTTAGCATTTACGCGGTGGTTTACTTTTGATGCCACCCATCGGGCAAGCAATCTTATGAAATAAGATGGGCTGACATACCTGCTTTGCGATTTGAGTTGGCTTGATACCTTTATTGTACTCGGAGATGCTCAGGGATGGACCAGTGTACATCTGGGGCAGGAAAGAGGACAAGTCCTCCCCAAGTACTCTCCGCAGCTTTGCCGCCCTCATTTCTAGCATAGGCCGGAGAGTCGACCAGTCGTTGCAATACTCGATGGGGACGACCGGCAGGTCGGAGATCTTGCAAACCTGCAGCCCCAGCATCGGGGTCGTGAACGTCTGCGATGACATGCCCGGTAAGATCCCGTCAAAATCGAGGCGAAGTCCAGCAATTGACCAGTCGTAGACGCCTGGGACTTGAGTCTGGACGATGGAGACATTGCGCAGGATCCAGCACTCTCGAATGATGCCAACGCTTACCACGACCAGGCTGTTAGGAGGGAAGATGGTCCACAGAATATCCGAGACAACCTGGCCTAGCTTGTTGTACTTGGCATGGTCGTCAATGATACTTGTCAGGAGACCGTTGTTCTTGATGAAATCGTTCAGCACCTTGACATCATTGCGGAGCTGCAGGTCGATATCCTCCTTCTCAGTCAAAGCCTGGATCTCGTTGCGGTAAAAGAAGAGCTCCTCGAATGGCGCCCTCATTTTGATGGGGACCGACTCAAGGTCGGTGTTTTCGTAGTGGCTCACAGCAATCTTCTGCAATTCTCTGCACAATGACTCTGACTGGATCTCTAGCTCAATGCGCACTGGGATGGAAACCTGTCCACGAAGCACCCATGTGCGACGGAGGACCACAGCGTATTCTTCATACTTTTGCGTCGACTTCTTGGTATCCTTTTTCTTGTTGGGAAGGAATCGCTCGGTTGGGATAATCTGAACATCGCGACCAGCCAGACCCTGTGTGTGATACTCGATGATATCAGCGAAACCCTTCCCAGACCTGCGCGCAGCTGTTGACTCATTGTCTTTCTAGTAAAGTATTAGTAACTCGCCGAGTTAAAATTGGGTTCCTGGAAACTTGCGGGTGTGCCCTTCGGGAACAGTTTGGGGAGAGACGATTCATAGACCTCGACAAGCGACGACATGACTTTGGGCTCGTGAGATAATAATGCCTATGTATTTAATGAGGAAAGACAGTGTGTTGATAGATTCGCGACGACTCGGCTTGAAGTAGCAAACCATTTTCAGGAGAGGGTATTTTCTTTCTTCTGAATACCGGGCACCACATTCTTATCACTGTACGTGTCTGCCTGACTGTAACAAGATTGGAATCCACAAACTTTTGGTGACAGCAGGGCTGGCTCAGACAAGGAGGCAAGGCAGAATCCAGGGCGGCCCAGTCAGTCATCACTGTCGAGGCCGCCCGTGTGGCGATACACAGCTGTTGCCTACCCTTGCCCCAATACGCCGATTCGGCGAATTGGCGGTGGACACGAATGGAGGCGGATAAGAGAAATCGGGCATCGATGGCTGTGGGCTCGGTGCGCCTGGACCCAAGGCAGTTGGATGACAATGCCCGATGGCTGTGCCTAATGATTGTGCCTCGGGTGCGTGTATTAAGTAAGGCAATTGGGTGTTAATGCTTGATGGCTGTGCCTTCGGTGACAAATGAGAAAAGTTTGCAGGACACCATCTCTACCGAATCAGGCTTCCCACACTCTGCCTCGGAGTTGCCTCGAGAAATTTCCACGCGGCTTAGGCTGACCAAGGGCATAGGCAGTACATCTCGTGCGGAAGAGAAAGAGAATAAAGTTCGACAGCAATGAAGCTGCCAGGGCTCGACAACTCAACTCAATGAATACGATAGTACGTCCCTTATGCTGCTAGGATGGAACTTGGCCCTTTATTATCAACGTGACCATCTAACATTCGGTAAAGTTTTGGGATTTGAGACCACACAGAATCTTCTTTCACATCTAACCCTACCCGACGACGCAATGAAGAGCCAGCTTCCGCTCCCCGCCACAGCGGAACGGCCAGCCAAGCTGAGCTGGTCTAGTCTTGTGGCGGAGAATGAAACCGCCCCAATCTCAACCTCACTCCCGGACCCGGAGCCCCAAGTGACCGTCACTGGGGACGAGGTCCTTCAAGCCGTCAACATACACAAGAAATTCCGACTCCCGGACCTAGCCCCGGACATTGAAGTGGTCGGTTTGCCAGCTTTTGATGATCTCACTCAATACGGCATCACTGAGCAAGTTCAGGAGCGCCTTTGGGCGGCTGAAGTGTCGAGACTCGCTGAGATCGTCTCAGGGACCGCCCCTCTCCTTTTTGAAGGTTCCGCCGATCTCGCTGTTGACTCCCAGAGGGCACACGAGCTCCTTGCTTCGATGGCAGATCGTGTTTACCAAGCCATGAGCATCGCCAACTACGACGCCGAGAACATGCTCGCTGAAGAAGCCAATACACTGTGCGATGTCGGCAAGCTGAGGAAGAACCGCGCTACGCTGGAGTACATTGTTGACCGCGAGGAGGGCGGGACCGGAGAGAAGGATGCTAATGCACCATGCCCTAAACACGAGGACATCCTCAAGTTTGTCAGCTACTTCAGTGGTGTCGTGGCGCGCGTTTTGTGTACCGCAGCGGACGGCAAATTCATGCACCTCAACATCCTGGCCCAAATGGCCAAGCTGTGCACCAAACTCAAAGTGCTCACCGCAAGCCTCCCGGAGTTCGCGCAGATTTCCATCGACAACGGGGTTCCCGACCAGAAAATCCCCGTTCCACTGCAGTACGACCTCCGCGGTCGACAAGACGGAGACAATGCCAACAATCAGGGAGGTCAAGGACCTATGTCGATTCCGGCAGCAGAGGCACACAGCTTCGCTGAAAGAATGAATCCTTTGCTGGAAGACTTGCGCCGGCTGTCGGGCACGGAAGAATCGCCACCTGACACCACGAAGACGAAGAAAGAATCGGTTCGGTCCTTGTATTTCCTCCACTGCCACATGTTTCGGCGTGGCGTGCTCGACCTCTTCCGCGTTCTCCTGCTGTCAATGAGGGGGACCAACATGCTGTCCAGTACGCCCATCGACTGTTATGAGATGAGCTCCATGGTGTACGTGGCCGGTTTCGAGCGTTTCCGCGTCTTACTATACCAAGATCACAATAGGAAATGCTTCATCGGGAGCTCTGATCGAGATGAAGTAAACTATGCGCGGATATCTTACCACCTCCTGGACAAAACAATTCGGGCTATGAAAGATAACACCGGCGCAGAACCAAGTACCGCAGCTGGCGAGTCGGTGGGCACGATTGTGTCATGGACCTATGTACCCGCCGAGTGTGAGGGCGGCGATACCTTGAGGAATCCGAGCCCTTTCAACCTCAAGTCGATGAGCCAAGTTATTACCGTCCTCGTACCTCTGATCTTGACGAATCCAACAGCAGTGGTAGACCTTGACCAGACTGTGGGTCTGATCGCTTTCGCCGAGGACTCCTTCAACCCACGCCACAGGACGATAAAACTGCCTACATTCGGACAATACACAGCGTTTTGCAGCCTGACGACAAAGGAGTATGTGAAAATGCAGGAGGACCTTGGTCCCGGCGCTCCACGGTCACTCTCGAATTCTTTACCACGACTCAACAATCTCCTTCGTGGCCAAGCGATAACGGAGACTAGTCGCACAATGAGTTTTCCCCTCGGCGCTTTAAGTAACGATCCCAATCAATCCAAAGCCGCCAGTAGTGACGATAGGACGACGCGGGGGCAGGTTGAGCGGCACCAGCTCGAGCTTGACAAAGCGAGGACGAAGATGAAGGCATGGGTGCTCGAGGAGAAAGGTGTGGTTGTTGAGTGCAAGCTCTACGTCTACAGCCTAATGGTCGTCTGCACCCTGCTCGTCTTGGGTGGGGTGGCTGTCGGAGCTGCTGTGGGCGACCGTATCTCCGGCGTAGACCCCTTCAACATCACGACGTATTGCTGGGTGCTCGCCGCCTTTATTCTCCTGGTGGCGAAGAGCGTCAGAGTCCACGAGTGGTCCTGGAACGACTTTCTACACAGACGCGTTGTTTGTAAGAGCGTATCGGAGCTGTCTTCCATTACTGGTATTAATGACCAGTTCATCATCGCCAAGCTGCTGCAGGAGGAGCGACAGTCCATCCTTCAAACCCGCGGCCCATTCAACACGATATTCAGGCGAAGGTCCGAAGATGGGTTCTCCATCAACTGTCCCATCAGCACTTGGACCATGTTGCTCAGTGGGCTGATCATGATTGAGGTCGAGTCCATCACTGGGCATGGTCTTGCTTGTCTAGACCTCCGCCAAGGTACGACCTACCGCTTTGTTGACAACCAGTACGTCCCGAACGAGAAAGACAATGAGAAGTACATCTACTGCTCGCGTCTTTACGAGGAGAACGGGAAGGATAAGAACCAGGGTCCGCAAAGAATTCGACTAAGTAGTGGCAAAGGTTTCATATGGCACCGTACTCTGGGATTATATGGTGACAAGAACGTCGAGTTCATCTAAATGCTATAAACAGGTTAGGACTAAATAAAACATTGTACTTCTTTAATTGCTAAGAACAAAGATTACCGTGTTATAAAAGAGGGTTACTCGGGAGCAGTATGATTTTGGGTTAGTAATAGTCGGTGACCACTCGGTTTTATCTACTTTTATTATCAGTGTGGACACAGCATTATATGATATCCTTTGTAATAACAGCTTAACATCCTCAGCAATACCCATGTCCTCTATAACCCTCCAGATACTGCACAGATAATACTGAAAAGATCTGTAACCAGTATCTCTATTTAATACAGTTCTGTTCGAGAAAGCTAACAGCTTATTATAAGTAGCAAAGAAGTATATCTGCTTACTTAATATATAGTTCTATCTGGTTCTATTAGTAATTTTATAATAGTTCCTAGTAGAATCTATTAAAATTTAATAAGTAAATTTTTATACTAATAAAAGATAGAAAGTAGAATTTATTATTAAAGATTTATTAATTTATTAATTAAAAATTTAGATTTTTCTATAAAAAATAATTATTTACTTTATATAATATCTATTTATTATTTATAAATAATATTAATATATTTTTATTATTAAAAAAATAGAACTTTATTTTTAAAATTAATATTTATTATTTATAATAATCTAAAAAAAGAAAATTAAATTAATTATA